GTGTTGGAATGTTTTATTCATGAACCATATTGACAATATTGTAAAATCGTAAATCATGGTGACTTTTTTAAGGAAAAAATATCTTATAATAACTTTGTTTTTCTAAATTTATATCTTGGAATTAATGTTTCATAATCAACTATTAAAACTAATTTCTCTTGGGGCTGGACAGATAGTACAGTAGGTAGATGCTTGCTTTCACACGGCTGACCTGGGTTTGATCTTCAGTATCCCATGTGGCCGCTGGAGCACTTCCAGGCATAATTTCTGAATGCAGAGTCAAAAGTAAACCCGGAGCATCACCAGGTATGCCCCACCCCCAAAAAAGAAAGTTATAATAATAATAATAATAATAATAAATTAACTAATTCATCTTAAAATACTCATTGATATATTGAAATTTTTGTCTTTTACTACTTCCATTTATACTCTGGTCATGGAATTGATACTAAGGACGGTACTAAGGTTCTAGCATCAAAACAATTTATCCAATTAAAAGTCAAGTTATTTAATCTCTTCATTTCTTGTTTTCTCATACATTCAGAAGACAAAGTATAACACATCATAGAGTTGACGGTAAAAGAGAAAATGAGAGGACACAAACAAGGAACACATCACTGTGGTTCTTCTTTCACCTTCACCCATTATTAAAGTAACAAAATTTGGCAAAAATATAGCAAGGTTTCCCCCCCTTTTAATAACCTATAGAGAGAGGGACTGGAGTGAGAGTATAGCAGGTAGGACACCTGCCTTGCATTTTTAACTCATATTTTTCATTTTACACTGCCTTTTTTTCTCCTGTTTTTGTTCTTTAACATTTCTTCTTATCTAGCCTAAGACACATAATTTTCTTAATTTAGTGACTAACCTAAAAATACATCCTTATCAACTTTTAAATATTTACAGCTTTCTAACCAAGTTATCTTACTTAATACAGTCTAAAGCAAAAGAAATTAACCTACTAAAAAGTTTAATCAGGATTTAAAATGTTAATTTTTTCATAGCACACTTGGCTGTGCTCAAGAGACTACATGCTGTAGATTGAACCAGGGCTGGCAACATGCAAGATAAGCACCTTATCTGGTGTACTATCTCTCCAACCCTTGTCATATTTTTCTTTTATGTATTAATGATAGATCAATGATTCCAATCTATAACAGTCATAGTTATAAAAGGATGATTTTCATTTTAAATCTGATAAACTAGTGATTATAAATTCATAAGGGTTAGTACACACAGAAGACATGTACTTAGACATGGTAGAACAGAGAAGTTTAATACCATTTTCCCCTTACCAGTCACTAAGATGGTGTCATCCTTTTCCACAGTCGTTCTTACAGCTGTCCCTTCAGCTTACCCAGTTTTCTTCCAGGTCCTCTTCATATATTTCATTTAAAAATTCCTTAACAACTAGAAGGCATGGCTCATCTTTTCCTTGGAGCAGTAATTTTCCTCTTGTAGATGCATATTTGATTTCTTGAAACATCCTAGTATCTCATAACATCCTGTTCTTAAGTGAAGAGTTGTGGGCTTTAAAAATCTGTGGTAAGTAAACTGTGTCATAAATCACATGGGAGAGAATTTTAGCAAGTGATAGAACTCTTTATTATAGCCTTGCCATACTTGGGTAAAGATCCAAGTGTGACTGAACATTCCAGTAACTATTCAAAAGAGGAATAGTGGTGAATATGGTTCATTGGTGGAGTTGTTTTGTTTTTTGCAATACCGAGAATCAACACCAGGACCTCATTTCAATGTGTAGCTCTTTCTACCTCCCTTTCCTTATCATGAAAATATATAAATAATATATGGACCAGAGGGATAGTAATCTCTACCTCTATAGAGTTTGGGAACTTGCTTTCTACATCACTAACCCCTTCTTAATTTCCCCACACACACCCTTTATGGCCCCTTCATTATAGCCAAGAATGATCTGTTAATATAGAACCAGAAGTAATGCCAGGAGTAAAATCTTTTTTTTTTTAAGAAAAGAGAGAGAGGGAGAGCACTTACAAAAGAGTAAGCAGTGCCAGTGTCACCCTGAAACAAACCAAGAAGGGAAAAAAAAAAAAAGACAAAGCTTGAATTTTTGAGCCACACCTGGCAGTGCTCAAAGTCTGACTCCTGTGCTTAGGGATCACTCCTGGTGGACTGCGGGAAACCACATGGGATGCTGGGGATCAAACTGGGGTCAGCAGCATGCAAGCCAAGCACCCTACCCACTGTACAATTGCTTTGGCCCCAAAAGTAATTATAATTTTAAGTAGGGTATTTTAAATACAGCCAATTATTTCCTATCATATGGCTCCTGTAATTCAGGAAATCTATCCTGAGCACAATGAGCTACCTAAAAACTAGAAGGAAAAAAATTTCAACTCTGATTGTTTAGTCCCTTCCCTGGCTCAAAGTAGTGACTGAAGACAAACTTATGTTGGGCTACTCTTCTGTTTCAGAGAGACCATCCCTATTCCTAGGTCAAAAATCTTGCCGTAAGAGGCCGAGTGATAGTACAGCAGGTAAGGTGCTTGCTTTCCATGCAACCAAGCCAGGGGCCCCATATGTTCTACCAGCCGGCCAGAAATGATCCCTGAGTGCAAAGCCAGAAGTAAGCCCTGAGCACGACAGGGTAGGGCCCCAAAACAAACAAAAAGAAATTTTAATGAAAAAAAAATCTGCCATAACTCAGTGGTTCTGTTCTGATCTTTTTAGCAATATTAACTTCCAGTTCTAACCAAAAACTGCAAGAAGTAGCAACAACTAGATCACTGTATCACTATATCACTGTCATCCCATTGTTCATGAATTTACTTGAGGGGGCGCCAGTAACATCTCCATTCGTCCCAGTCCTGAGATTTTAGCAGTCTCTCCTTATTCATCTTTCCTAAAGCTCGTTCAGGGTCAGGGGAATGAGACCCATATTGTTACTGTTTTTGGCATATCGAATACGCCATGGGTAGCTTGCCAGGCTCTGCCTTAATAAATAGATATGTTGTGCTAAAAACAACATATATCTCCGCCCACTCCAGATGAAACCCCGATGGCCACGAGCTTTCAGAAGCAAAACCCAGGAATGGAGGTTCACCGACTAAGACTCCAGGTCACATGGCAGCAACAGAGATGGGCTGGGCCAGCCTTTCCCATCTCCTCACCCGCTTGGGGTCCTGGCTGTCACAGCCACTATCTGCCTCCAGGCTCCATCTCAGCACATCAACGGCCTTGATCCAGAGACTCCCAAATGAATCTCAAAGTGGATTAGCTCCCAACAAAGGTGTCTCTGGACCCCAACCATTTATAATTTTAGAATCCAAAAGCTTGGGGCCATGCGACCTCTCATGATATTCATAATAAGCAATAGTAAATAAATTATCCACCATCTACCCCTGGCAGGCAGGCTTGAGTGGCAACAATCACAAGTACAACTTGGAGAGAGGTGGGAAAGCAGGGGGCGGTTAGTGGAGATCTAGGCCTCAGGGCCCATGTTCCAAACAAAACTAGGTCTTCTTGATTATTTTACTATCAATATTGAATTTAGAAGGCTCTTCTTAGCCCTTAAAAGATACAAATCCAGGGTTGGAGTGATAGCACAGTGGGTAGGGTGTTTGCCTTGCATGTGGCCAACCCGAGTTCGAATCCCAGCATCCCATATTGTCCCTTGAGCACCACCAGGAGTGATTCCTGAGTGCAGAGCCAGGAGTAGAGTAACCCCTGCACATCACCGGGTATGACCAAAAATAAAAAAAAAGATACAAGTCCTTAAAAAATAGCTGAGGTCTATTTCCAGAACAACTGAGCTTTGGATAAAAAGCAGAAGTTGCATCTATTTCTTGGTCCTCATTATTGTTGACCTCTATAGAGCCAAAAATCTTCTGACTGCTTACAGGACTTCACTTGTGAAAAAGCCTCCAATATACATGGTGTGATTTAACATATAATGTCTCCCAACTTCTTGCAGGTCTCCAATCTGCCAAGTGAACAGCTTATTAAATTTATTATTATTTTAACTTGCCATCAATAAAGTGGCCAGTCGTCTCTCCTATAGCACTGCTTGCAAGCCTCCAAAATGAAATTTTAAGAGTCTTATAAGAATAGTATCTAGAAGAAACTTCGTTTCTGGTCAGTGGATCCAAATGATGCCAGATTAGGTGTTAACAGTTGTGGAATAATGGGCTTCCTAGAGGCTTACAGGTTTATCATCTTCTCAGTGGTCTCAGATCCCATTTCTTGGAAAGACATCCCTTCCTCTTTTGATTTTCACCTATTATCCACTTAACCATTCAAACAGAATGCATCAACTGAATGCCCATGGGTTATTTACCTATAACCTATTTGCCTCACGCAAAAAAAAAAAAAATTTCAGGTGATTTGTTATTCATATCTCTAGAATATCTATCACTCTATCACTCCTCTCAAAATATTTCATTTTTTGAACCTCTTCTCTAGCTCCCTATTTACTACAGTACCACAAATATTCTGGCAATCAATTCGGTGCACAAAAGGAAATTTTTCACCTTACAAGCCAGTTTATTATCAGGCCATTTAAAAAGGATAGAAGAGTGTTCATTCATGGTAAGAACTCTAAGATGGATATTAGGAGAACTTCAAAAGTAGAGGTTATCATGTCACTGGTTTTTCAAGTCTAATTTCCTTATCCATGTAAATACATCCAATCTCATTCACCATTCTGTTCTAGTAAACTCTCAAAATTTTTACTCTATCCTAGGCCCTGTGAATCAGCCCTGTGATCCCACAAATAACTAAAAGATCAGAATTCCATTATGATGTAAATAGCGTCTGAATGAAAGTTAGTAGAAACAGTCATTCCACCTTCAGAATGCCTTAAAACTAAACTGTGTTTCCAAGCAACCATAAATCATTAACAAACAGAAGCAAAAGTGAACAGCAGTACCTATAGAACTACCAGAACAGTTTTAGAGAGCACTCACCTGGCAACCATTCACAAAAGGAATATTTCAAGGCAAGTTTTTAATTTTGGCCAATCACCTATGAGAATGCTGGCTTACTGTGCTATAGCCATTATATAAATTGATACCTTAACATCTTGTCTGTGATGTTCTCTTATGGAGCCTTGGAGAGATCCCTAAATGCAGTCAGAATCCTGAAGCACTGATCATTTTCCTCCCTTCACCATCATCACCTTCAACAAATGCAACAGAACAAATCTGAATAAGGTACTTACAAACTTTTAAACTTTAATAAGTGAAAACAGCAAAAGAAATAATTAGTAAAAACTACTTAAAAGTAAACGTATGAAAAATTTCTAAATTATATTAAAGACCATGATTGACCACACCAAAAGAAATCATGTAAGGTTAAGTATGCATGTAGATAACAAAATTTAGACTAGTTTTAGAAATTGCTCCTTTGGGGGAAAGAGAGATTACAGCAGTTAGGCGGTTGCCCTGCATGCAGCTGACCAGTTGACCTGCGCATTTTATAACACCAGGAGGTAAGCCCTGAGCACTACCACGTTTGGTTCAAAACCAAAAATAAAATAGCCCTTTTGAGTGATTTAAATATTTTTAATCATACCCGTATCGTAATGCTATTAAAGTGTAAATAATCTGAACACAGCAAGTACCTCAAAAATTTTTATCATACTGTCCAAATTTAATACATGTACTTACTAACTTATTAAATATTAAGGAGTAAACATTCTTTTTCAATATTCTTTAAAGAATTGAGTATTATCTTTTTAAAATTACTTTCAGTGAAACAGCAGTGGTTATTCCTATGTTCAGAAAATTAAGCCTGAAGTCTGCAAAATTGGATACTGTGTAAGAGCGCCATCTACTGATTGAAGTGCAATGTTACAAAGCGTTAACTATTGGGCCATTAGGGCAGGGAGTGTTTTAAGAACTGAAAATATAAACACTAGTAAAAATCATCACCTAGGACACTGGTTTTCAAAAGGTTTAACAAGATAATCTTTTTAACAGGAGATTCAATATAATAACAAAATAGGGCCCCCCTATAAAGCTGAGGTAGGGGTCTCCAACTCTCAGGCTCTCTAATCTGGCCAGCAGAGGCCACTCCAGTAAAAAAACATTAGAGATAGTCCAGACAAATAACTAGTTTAGGAGGCGGCACAATGAGAACAAATCAGCAAAGTTGTCTCTAACCCATCTTTGCCCTGGAGACACTCGGACACTCAATACACATGGCTAATGGATAATGGCTAAAGAGCACAGAGAACTGAAGAATGCAAGGTAGGCACCTGAAAAGCTACAAACCTCTTCTCACAGGGACACAGTTTATGTGCTCACTGAAGCAACACTTTAAGAAAAACACTAACTTTCCTGAAAATGCAAAATAGTAATACATTTGCTATTTTTTTTTAATCACAAGTCATTAAAGATAGGAGTCTCTAGGTCCTATGGGCTTTCATCAGCCAGGTCCTGGACTGGTCCAGTCTAGGAAATAAAAGCCCAGTTTCAGGTCCCAGCCTCCTCCCTTCAAAAGGGCATGGATGTCCATAAAATCGAGGCAAGAAGCAGAGTTCTCCAAGACCCCTCTCTGTGGCAGAGACTCCCAGCCTGCACAGCAGCTTGTCAGCCAGGGTTGGGGTGACAGGCTGGAGCAAAGTCCCAAAGACTCGCAAACATTCCAAGGCCACATGAAGTACAGTACCTAGCCAGGGACCATCCACAGGACTCTCCCAGTTCAGCTTCCACGGTGCATGCCTTTGGACAAAGCCGTTAGTTTGCCGGACACAGTTGGACACTGCCTCCAGGGCCTTATAAATCTGAAAGTTATCATAGTGGTCAGCTACCTGCTTGGGCAAAGTGGCCACTGCACTCACCAAAGCATAATCCTCTGCCTGAGCACGCACTAATGGTCCCCCCAGCCCAGGCTCCCTGGGAAAGGAGTTAGTGCAGAACACCGGATAGGTTCCAGAAGGATTGATTCTGGTGGCAGTGCATCGGTTCAAGAGGCCTCCCAACGCATCTGCCAGCTCGGAATCTAACAACTTAACCACCTTCTCATCATAGTAATCACAGTCCCAGTTGGGAACACCCTGCCGCAGGAGAAAGTACCGAAAGCCATCCACGGTATAGCGGTCAAGGCAAGTCCCGGGGTCCACCACGTTGCCCAAGCTCTTAGACATCTTTTGGCCACTGACAGTCCAGTGGGAGTGGACACAGATGCGGCGAGGCGGACTCAGGCCGGCGCCTAAGAGGAAGGCAGGCCAATAGATGCTATGAAATCTCAGGATGTCCTTGCCTATGATGTGAACGGTGGCTGGCAACCAAGATTCGAACTGGGCGTCTGGGTAGCCAATGACGGTAAGGTAGTTGACCAAGGCGTCCAGCCACACGTAGATGGTCTGCGACTCGTCGCCAGGAACCGGGATGCCCCAGTGCAGGTTGCTTCTCCTCCTTGAGACGGACAGGTCGGTCAGCTCCTCTTCCAGCCACTGAAGGACTAAGTGATAGAAGGGCTCCGGGGTGATCGCCCGGGGGTTGTCCCGCAGCCACCGCTGGAGCGGCTCCCGAAACGCCGAAAGCCTGAAAATGTAGTTCTCTTCCTGGGTCCAGGAGACGGGGTGACCGCTCTCGAGCGACACGGGGCACGAGTCCCCCGACGGGCCGGGTTGCCGGGTGACCTTGGCCTCCGGCAGGAAGCACTCGTCGGACGCGCAGTACCAACCTTCGTAGACCCCCTTGTAGAGCAGACCCCGAGCCTCCAGCAGGCCCCAAAAGTGCTGCACGGCCGTCCGGTGTCGGGGCTCAGTGGTCCGGATGAAGTCGGTGGAGGCGATGTCAGCCTGGCGGAAAAGCTGGTGGTACTGGGCCGACACTCGTTCGCACAGCTCGGTCGGGGCGAAGCCGGCCGCGGCGGCCGCCTGCTGGATCTTCAAGCCGTGCTCGTCGGTGCCCGTTGAGAATCGCGTGGCGGACGCGCTGGGGACTCGGAGGCGACGGTGGCGGTACAGGGCGTCCGCCAGCACCGCCGAGTACAGGTGTCCGATGTGCGGGGCCGCATTCACGTAGAAAATAGGCGTCGTGAAGAAGGCGCGCCTGTCGCCCACATCGTCTCGAGGGCAGAGGGGGCGCGAACTGTAGCGGCGCGGACCAGACGCCTCCGGGAGCGAGACCTGAGGAGCTCCGGCGCGACCGAGCAGCCGGAACACGGATAACCGTAACATGCTGCCCGTCCGGCTTCAGCGGCTGACGGCTCGCGCCACGGGAAGGCGTGGGGGGGCGCCTGCGCAGCCTGCTCGCTCCGCCGCTTCCGGTCAGAAAACCAATGAGGTTCGAGCCAGCGAACGGGCCTCCTGTGGCCCCGCCTCTCTCCTGTGGTCCCTCCCCCCGTGGTCCCTCCCCCCGCCGCCCCACTTCCATTCCCTCCGCCCATCTGGGACTAAGCTGCAATGAAGCGTTAAAGCGCGCAAATTCGAAAGCAGCAGTTCAGTGGGTCAGGGAGATTGTACAACGGGTAGGGCTCTTGTCTTCCATGGGGCGGATCCCCGGCCTACCGAGCCTGCCAGAAGTGATTCCTGAGCTCAGAACCAGGAGTAAATCCTCAGCATAAATGGTGTTGGCTCAAAAGCCCAGAAAAAAGAGAAAAGTAAGAATCGAAGATAGCAGGACGGAAGCACTAGCCTTAGAAGAGGTTATTCAAGTGCGTCAATTAAAAAAAAATCTTTTTCTTGGGGCTGGAGTGATAGCACCGCAGGTAGGGCGTTTGCCTTGCATGCGGCCGACCCGGGTTTGATTCCCAGCATCCCATATGGTCCCCCGGGCACCGCCAGGGGTAATTCCTGAGTGCATTAACCAGGAGTAACCCCGTGCATCGCCGGGTGTGACCAAAAAGCAAAAAAAAAAAAAAAAATTTTTTATGCTATGTGCTCTGCTTTTGGTTGGCAATTTTATTTATGTATAAATGACTTTCCCAAATTAAGCTATTGTATACAAGAATTTTGTGTTCAGGGCTGGAAAGAGAGGACAGCGGGTAGAGCCTTCCACACTGCTGCTGACCCAAGATAGAATCTAGGCATCCCACAAGGTTCCCCCAGCACAGCCAGGAGTAATTCTGAGTGCAGAGCCAAGAGAGTCGCTGATGTCCCTCCACTCCCACCCAAAAAAAGAATTTTTGTCTTCAGGAATTTTTTAAATAAGGCAATGCAGGACACAAAATATACATATGCCCAAATTAAAATGCAGATTTGAGATGTTCTCTAAAATTTATCTCATAACCTAGCGTACACTCTGAATCTGAAAAGGAGCAGAAAAAAGGAGTGATAGCCATTTGCCTTGTATGCAGCCCACCCAGAATTCAAACCCCATATGGTCCCCCAGGCACCGCCAGTAATCCTAAATGCAGAGCCAGGAGTAACCCCTGAGCATAGCTGGGTACAACCCAAAAAGCGCCCCACCAACACCAAAAATAATAATAATAATAATAATAATAATAATAATAATAAAATAAAAATGCAGCATTAGTGGGAAGGGGAATCAAGTTTCAATTCTAGGATGTAAGCTTAGCATGTGTGCTGGCCTGAGTTTAATCCTCTGCATGCTTAGTCTTCCGGATCACAACCTCATTAAGGCTTTGTGGAACTCAAGCCCACAAGCCCGCACTTACCCAAACTCTGCGTGTATCTCTGCCAGGTGTAGCTCCTCTGTGAAATTTATTTTCTTAAAAATCATCACTCTGGGGCCCAGAGATAGCAAGCACAACAGGTAAGGCCCTTGTCTTAGATGCAGCCAACCTGAAGTAAGATCCCTGGCATTACATATAGTCCTCGGATACTGCCAGGAGTGATCCCTGAGTCCAGCAGGATGTGGCAAAAAGAAAAAAACCTTCACTTTTGTTTGTTGAATCAACAAAAATGGTAGATTTGCAAAATACCATGTGTTTGTCAGAGACCATTAAGAGCTAGGGAGGCAGAATGTTATCATCATTTTACACATAAGGAGGAACCAATCTTCAGGTTGGTAGCTATTAATATTTTCTTTTTTTAGTGGTCTTGATCTTTTTTCTAGACCAATGTGAGTGTTTTGTTTGTTTCTGAGTTTTCTTTTAGTTTCTTCAAGGGTAGATCTCTTCAGCCAAGAATTGGATTAACATTACTCTTCATGACTCTTATATTTTACCTATAACTTGCTTTGGAAGTAGATGGCCCCCATGGTAGCTTCTGTGAGGCAGAGGGGAGAAAGATGGAGAGATCTTTCTCCCTATCCACCTCTGCCCCCTAGAGACCGTCTGGGAAGGCTAGGACGGACTGATAAAGTCTTCGAGCCCCCACCAGGTGGCTATCAAGCCACACCTGACATCCCCTTGGTCTTCTCAACATAGGAGTTAATCTCCGCACCCCTCCTCCCATCCCTTTCCTCTTCCCCATCCCCCACCATCCCCCACCCCGATTTCTCAGGAAGCCACAGACTTAGGTTGGGTTGAGGAATTGCTTTTTGCAGGAAATGAAAGTCAGTCCTAGGCCTTACCCAGGGTTACCAGGTTCATCTCTTGCCTCGCTGAAAAGGAATTTCAGGAGTAAATGAGCAGTGAAGTAAAACAGATTTTATTTAAAGGATTTTAGGAAGAGGACGGAGGAAGAGAAAATAAGAGAAAATGCAGACTTTTCCAAAGACGGAGTGAGCCCCTTACATACATCCCAGCATTAGATATGGAATCATGAAAGTACACATCTCAAGAGGGGAGATGCCGGTGACACACTTGCCCAGGTGCCACATGTGCTCAGTCACATGGGCTCGGGCAGTGTATGCGCTCCCTTCCTTTGTTCAAGGTGGATTTTATAGGGTTTCTCCAAGGTGCTGGCTTTCTAGCTAGGTAAGAGTCTGTTGCTAGGGTGGTTGCTAAGAAGATAGAGTTGGGAAGGTCTTCTTTGAAACTCCTTTTCTTAACCTTTGTTCCTGCTGGATCTTCTCTTGGGACCTTCTCTCTCTGGGCTAGCTGCGCCTTCAGGGTCAATCAGATTAAAGGATGGAATTGAGGGTTCTTGAGTAATTTCTTCCAGGCCCTTTCTATAGGGAGGGGTCCAGTCTCCTCAGGATCGAGAAGATCTTATCAGATCTTACTTTCTGTATCTACAGAGTGGGTCAGATTTAGGACTAATGACTAATTACTTCCCAGAAATTTCATTGCCATAATATGTGTGTAGGGGGAAGGGGTAGGGAGAGGAGGGTGCCTTCCCTAGTCTACCTGCCCACATCACTTTGTTTGGTTTTAAATATTTATTCATTGAATAATTAAATGAAATGGAACACCTGTGAACCCACAAACCAGCTTCAGAATTAGAAATGATTCTATAAATGCAGAAGAGCAGCACTAGCTATTCCAGAGAGCTAGTTAGAAATGCACATTCTTAGGGTTGGAGTGATAATATAGTGATAATACACCCAACAGTGGGTGGGGTGGTTGCCTTGCATGCAACCTACCTGAGTTCAATCCCTGGTACCCCATACAGTTCCCCAGCAGTAATCTCTGAATGAAGAGTCAGTAGTAATCCCTGAAAATCACTGAGGTATAGCCCGCCCCTCCCCCCAAAATACACAAAAAATTGCTCATTCTTAAGCCTGAGAACCCACAACCCCTGTTAGTCCCTATTAGCCAGATCAGATACCCTGGGGCTAGGGCTCAGTAATCAAAGTTCTAAATGGTGATTCTGACCCACAAAGAATTTTTAGAACTATTGACCTAGAAGATTTTTAATGATTCAGATCCACACTTTTTCTCCTTCCTTTCTTCTTCCCATAGGTAATTGTCTGAAATTTATACTTTTATATTAATGTCATCATGTACAAAGTACATCTAAGGACATATTTCATTTGAAGAAAAATTTCTGAGCAAATTATATAGCACACCTAGTATTCTGTAATGATTTTTTTCTCAGCATTTTATTAAAATTTACTTACACTTCTTCCTATAATTACTCAATTCATTTTAATTTCTGTATAATTATGAATGTTGCATATGGTAAATTGAATTTAATTTCTGTGATGACATAGAAAGTGGATCAAATTCTCTATAGGAGTAAGAACAGGTATAACAATCAGGCTTTGGGCATATTGTTGATCTAGGAATTTGAAAAGGACAGTTACCATTTAAAACTCCAGTACATGTGCAGCCCTATGTTCAGTCCCTCCACTTGATGTCCAGGTGTGATCCTAGTGACTTCTTAGCATTTGGGAGCCAAGTATTGCTGGGAATGACCCTGGACCTCCAAAGTTCCACTACGTGTGACACCTACAAAAACATCATGTCACTATACATAGAAGTGAGGTTGAGCAACTCTTCATTTAGTACTTAGCCATGTTTCTTTGCCTCTGAAGTACCCTTTTATATTTTGTGTCAATTTTTCTACTGACTTATTATTATTTATAGTTATAGTTGTTTCTTATACACTTTTTATTGGTGGATATTTTGCAAATATTCTAATTTTGCAAATATTCTAATTTATATCTTGTTTTTGCATCAAAGAGGTTTAGTGTACTAATTATCTCTGATGAATGCACATAGATGCAGAAAGCTTCAAGAACATCTCAGTGAACCAAATTCAACAGTACATTAAAGGGATTATACATTATGAACAAGAATTTATTCCAAGATACAAGAACAGTTCAAGATAGGCAAATCAATTAATGTAACACACTACACCAACAACAGAAAGGGCATGTAGGTCAGTGATAGAAAGCATACCTATTAGGTATCTTAATTGTCACTGGTATATTAAAAAAGAAAAACAAGCTACTATGCTTTAGAGTGGCAGGAGAACCCAGAACTCTGTCTGCTCAGCTTTCACCTATAAAGCTCCAGCTGGGTCTGAGAAATAGTATAGCAAGTTAAGGCATTGACCATCATTGACCATGCATGCAGCTTACCCATGTTTAATTCCCATCACCATATATGGTCCCCAAAGAGCCAGGAGTAATCCTTGGGCAAAGACAGAGCCAAGAGTAAGCCCTGAGTACTGCCAGGTATGGCCGAAAACTCAAGAAATAATAAATAAATAAATAAATAAATAAATAAAATCCCAATCTCTTCTCCAAAGCTTGTTCTTCTTTAGAACCAGAGGTTTCTGCCCTACATTATTGAGAACTTCTGATAAGTAAATTTTAATAAAATGCTGAGAAAAAAGAATAAAGTTAAAAATAGTTAATAATTTTGTTTTGGGGCCAGTCCCAGAGGTATCAGGGCACTACACTTAGGAATCACTCCTACTAGTGCTTAAGG